ACATAGACACAGTTGACTTCCAGACCTTACTCCAAACCTTTAGTCAGAGAATGGGGAAAAAAAAAATAACAGACCAAACCACAAATCTCTTTTCTAGAATCTCATAATATCAATGATGTGATGTGACTTCTTTGAGAGGCCAGACAACGAAGTATGGATTAGAAAGGACATCCCTTCTCAAGAAGTAGGTTTTAGGCGGATTCAGAAACACTGAAAAGTATTGAAGTGGTAGTAATAAGTGCTGTGTGTATCGATGAATATCTACCATTTAATAAATCTGCCTTCACTATCCTTAATACTTACACAGCACCTTTACTGGGACCATTATATCTGATATGTCAGCTTTTTAAATATTTAAAATTTCCTTGGAGCTGGGAGGAGCAGTACATACATGCCTTTAATCCCAGTAGAGGCAGGCAGAGCTCTGAGTCGAGACCACTCTGCTCTACAGAGAGAGTTCCAGGACAGCCAGGGCTACACAGAGAAACCCTGTCTTAAAAAAAAAAAAAAAAAAAATCGCCAGGCTTTGGTGGCACACGCCTTTAGTCCCAGCACTCGGGAGACAGAGGCAGGTGGATCTCTGTGAGTTCCAGGCCAGCCTGGTCTCCTGAACAAGTTCCAGGACAGGCTCCAAAACAATACAAAGAAACCCTGTCTCGAAAAAAACCAAACCAAACCAAACCAAAACAAAAAACAAACAAACAAAAAACACAGTATTTTTCTTCTTGCTAATTTCTGTATTTTTCTTTCTTTTTTGCTGTCTTCAATTTCCCCCCACTAATTTTCTTATAAAACTTATTTTTAAAAAGATTGACTTATTTTATGCATGTGTGGGTGTGTGTGAGTGTGCCTGCATCCGCCATGTGCATACACATGCCTTTGGAGGCCAGAAGGGGGCATCTGATCCCTGGAACCAAACTGGAGTTAGAGGAGATTATGGGCCAGCATGTCAGTGCTGGGAACTGAACCCAGAACTTTACAAAAGCAGTGAATACTCTCAGATTGTGAGTGTGAGTCATCTTTCCAGTCCCTCCTATAAAATTCAAAACATTCAAGATTTACTTCCATCTCTCCATACTTCTGGTAATATTACCCAAGTTTCCAGAGATAAGTTAACAGCTGTGAACAAACAACATACTCACTATGACTAAGCACCTATCATATTTCTGGTAATATTACCTAAGTTTCCCATACTTTTATTCAAGAATTGAGAACACTTTGTTGAGCATAATTTTTATTTCATCCTCAATTAAACTATCCATTCTGCAAGTTTTCAGTCTACCTGGCGGAGCATATTCTTTCTTGTTCATTCACACTTAAAGGAGATGGGGAATTGATCTTGGATATCTAAAAATAGTTATTGTAAAACTTGGCACATTATCAATAATAATTGTTAGTCAAAAATATAGTCATATCATGACAAAGCCAAAAAGGGAATAACCAGGATCTTCAGTTAAAATACATAGATCCAGTTTCTAACTCATGGTCAAACTGCAGAATTGGCTCAGAGCAGTCTCCTCCCACTCTCTCTAAACAACCAATGTAGGTCTTGTTATGCTGAGCTGCTCAGTGTTAGCAGATAGCATAGGCAGTGAGAGGTACACAGGCTCTGCAGTTTCATCTAACCAACTGAGCAGTACCTATTACATAGTAAGTAACAAATTTAAGCAAACAAATGAAATACAGAAAGAAACAAAAGTAGAACTCAATACATCAAAATAGGTATTTGAAGCCATGCACATACAGTTAAGGGCTTATCCTATTCATGGGAATGTAACTAAAGTGCTATTACATTTAATCTGGTTCTTTCTTTTCCTTTTGATATTGTTTCAACAAGAATGACTGCACAGCAGTACATGGCGGCACACACCTTTAAGCCCAACACTTGAGAGGCAGAAGCAGGCAGATCTCCAGGCCAGCCCAGTCTACATAGTGAGTACCAGACATACCCAGATCCTGTCTCATTAGAAAAGAAAGGACTGCATACTTGTCAAGAAAGAACGAAAGAGGAACATTTACAGAGGTATTAATACTTTAAGAAATATGAATGTGGGCATTTGCTTTGTATTTTGAAGCATGGCCTTAAGTAGACCAGGCTGGTCTGGAACTCCTGATATTTTTGCTCCACCATCAATGTGCTAGGATTCATTGTCAAATCTGGCTGGTTCAGGAAGATTGTTATCATAGCCTTCTTTGTTGTTTGTTATAATAATTTTGAATGAACCAATGGTTGGCCTGGTTCACAGTATTATAAAGCAAACCACTGTGTTCGGAGCACTGAACTAGGTGTTTAATTGGATTCCACTACAAAATATAGAATTTCAGTCTACCTGATTAGGGGTAGGGAGGATACAGCTTTTCCTTTATTTCCTATTATTAGGTAGACTATTATTATTACTATTGCTCATTGCAGTTTAACTATCTATTATCTTGCCCTTGGAGAATGCAAGAAGAAAGAGGCCATGGATTTTACAACTAGAGGACATAACTTTAGGTCATTTTCCTAAGACTGTTCTCTCTTAACTAAACAAATTAGAAAACAGAAAAGAATGGCCAGAGCCAAGCAACTGAAGGGTATCCATATAAAACACATATACAAGGGATCCACATAACAGAGTAATTAATGCAAGCTCATGAATCTAACTATTACTGTACCTCACTCTGTGGTGTCGAACTGTCCATCAGCATCACATGGATGAGCCTGGGATCTACTGACTTCATCTCACCAGTCTCCAGAGAAGGAAAGCAGAAATCAGAAAAAAAAGGGTAAAAAAATATTTAATACCTTGACCCCAAAATATAATGCTGTACATTTTTATTAATATAGCTACCTACTTATTTTTACTTCCCTATGAGATGGAAAAGAGTGATATCCAGTAACATTATTGTAAATAATATCTAGACTATGGCAAAGATCAATAAATTTGTTAAGTTAATAAATTAAAGAACTAACTGAGTTCAAGATCTAAGGATATCTTTAATCTAATAATGTCTCAGCAATATTCATTTACATTTCTGTATCTCTATGCCAACAGTCATTAAAAGAGGCACTCGACTATTAAAGAAAAAAATTAAAGCTTTAGGAGTGGGGACAATGTGATAAAGCACATACTTATTCTATCTGGCAACTACATACTGAGGAATTTATTTATTTATTTATTTACTTATTTATTTATCATGTATACAGTGCATGCCAGAAGAGGGCACCAGATCATATTACAGATGGTTGTGAGCCACCATGTGGGTGCTGGGAATTGAACTCAGAACCTCTGGAAGAGCAGTCAGTGCTCTTAACTGCTGAGCCATCTCTCCAGCCCCAGAATTTATTTTTTAACAGACTTATTTTTAATTACATGATGTATGTACATTTGTGTGGCTATGTGTACATGAGTACAAATGGCCAGGAGTGTGGGATCCCTCATAGCTGGAGTTACAGGCAGCTACGAGCCACCCAACATGAATGCTAGGCAACAATCTCAGGCCTGCAGGAGTACCAAGTGCTCTTTACTGCAGAGTCACCTTTCCATCCCTACATTAAGGATTATTTACTAGAAAACAACCTGTGTGAAAGAATGCATAATTCTTTGACTAATTATGTCAATACCTGTGTTAGTGAAAATACTGTGCTTGAGTTACAAGTCTCCCAATTTAGTTTGGCAATGGTGGCATACACCTTTAATCCCAGAACTTGGGAGGCAGAGGCAGGCAGATCTCTGTGAGATCAATGACAGCCTGGTCTACAGAGTGAGTGCCAGGGCACCTAGAGCTACATAGAGAAACTCTGTCTCAAAAACCAAACCAAAACCAAAACAAAAAAAGCCCTCCAATTTTAGACTAAATTATGATATATCAATTTAGAATACACATATATTTTAAAAGGATGAGTCAAGTATCTGTATTGATAAATATACAGCACATAACAAACATACATTTATGCTCAAAAGATGAATTGTGCCTATGTACCAATCACAACTCACACAACTATACTTAATATAATAAATACAAGCTTGACCATGCTCTAACCTGTCTCTGGAATTTGACAAGCTCCCCAACCCATGGAGTTTGACTCACACCTTGAATGTACCCTGATAAGATGTTCTGCCAAATAATTCTGAAATGTTTAATAAAGGCCAATGTAACCAAAATTCTTCTTGAAATCCCCCAACCCTTGGAAACCCTGAAGCCTTGAAGTTTGGAGGGCTTTATAAATCCTACCTTCTCCTACACTTAATGCTGTTTTCTCTCTGATTTAGGGAGACAGCCTTGTCTGACAGAAATGAAGCTTGCAGAGTTTGACCAAAGAATTTGGGTGATGGTCTTTACAACTGTTCATCGGTAATAACTCTTCCAGAGGTCTGGAACTCCATGTACACACCCAGCTTACAAGCGCATTTCAACATTATCCCAATGTTAAGAAGTCAGTGCGATTTTTTTCTTTCTTTCTCTATGTAACAGCTCTGGCTGTCCTGAAACTCACTCTGCAGATCAGGCTGGTCTTGAACTCGCTGAGATCCACCTGCCTTTGCTTCCAGATGCTGGGATTAAAGTTGTGTGCCACCAGTGGAGTTTTACATGTTTACCTCTAGCTCATTATTCAGCCTTCCTTATGCTCACTCAGAAGCAGAGGCAGAGGTAGAAGCTAGTCTTACAATGCAGAAATACTTACTTTCTCTGTCATCCTCACTAAGGCAATGGCTGTACCCATTACACAGTAAGAGCCTCACCTCGGTTATAGACACCTCCATGAGACGGGTGATTGTGTCCTGACGGCTTACAATACCACAGAGCCATACTTCTTCTCCTTCTGGCTGGTATACTTTAACCCTGTGACCTTGAACACTATAGGGACCTAAAGGAGAGACCAATTAGAACTGAATGTTTGGGCTAATCACATAGGTAAACACAACATTTTCTGTGAAGAGATGAAAGGAACCACTCTAGTTTTTCATACTCAGAAGAATAAAAATGAAACATGTTTTTTTTCTAGTGAGTTTTTTGTTTTTAATATGGAATACTTCATGAATTTTCATGTCATCTTTGCACAGGTGCTTTGCTAATCTTCTCTGTATCATTCCAATTTTATTATATGTGCTACTGAAGCAAGTACTCTAGTGAGTTTTAAAAACTTTTCATTCTAAAGAATCTCCCAAGTCCCCAATTCTATATTTACCCCCTCATTCTTAAAATTCTGAAAGGTCAGCCTAAGCTATAAAGCAAAACAAAACAAACCAAGCCACTAAGCTGAATGTGTTATCAGGTAAAACGGCCATAGGGACACTAAATGACCACTAATGTCCTGCTATCTCAGTTTCAATGCTATTAGGTGGAGAGTTCAATTCATGGTGAAAATATGGGACCTAGGCCATTGTATATTTCACAGAAGCTCTCTACCACTGACTACAACCTCTAGCAATATCCCCCTCTTGACTTTTGTTGTTAATAAGTCTGTGAATGAACTGCTTTATGCATATACTTTGCTGGCATTAACAAGCTTTTAGCTCATGAGAAATTTGTAGATGGTAAGCATAAATATAACAGCAAAGGTTTTCTCTAATTGCAGTATCTCTATCACTTAATTTGTTTAGTATGTGGTTAACTCCTTGATAAACACTTAAGAAAACACAACAAAACTTTTGTGTTTTGATACGCAGAAAGAAGATCTAGGGGACTATTAATTGGTGGAAAATAAGGAGACTTTATAAATTGAACCCTGAGGGCTGGGGAGATGACTCAGAGGTTAAGAGACTGCTCTTCCAGATGTCCTGAGTTCAATTCCCAGCCACCACATGGTGGCTCACAACCATCTATAATGAGATCTGGTGCCCTCTTCTGGCCTGCAGGGACACATGTAGGCAGAACACTGTATGCATAATAAATAAATCTTAATAAAATAAATTGAACCCTCTACCCAATGGTAGAAAGTCACATAGTAGAATCCCTAGGGTCACTATACATAATAGCCTGAGTAAGAGGCTATTTTTTTTTTTCCAATTTTTTCTAGAAATGCAGCTAACTACAGATATTCAAAACTTTACTCAGGAAAAAGAAGAGCAGAAAAATGTTTATAGCTGTGTGGTACTGCATTCTCTCCATCAATACTAAGCCCCCACCTAATCTAGAGTCCAACAGAAAGATGCTTTTCTTTTGTTGTTGTTTGTTTGTTTGTTTGTTTGTTTTTTGAGACAGAGCTTCTCTGTGGCTTTGGAGGCTATCCCGGAACTAGCTCTTGTAGACCAGGCTGGTCTTGAACTAACAGAGATCCACCTGCCTCTGCCTCCCTAGTACTGGGACTAAAGGCATGTGCCACCAATGCCCAGCTGAAAAATGGTTTTCTTACCTCGGCTGAATATCTCTTGTAGCTTTTGGTCACTGATCAAAGCATTAACTGTCTCTCTTAATGCAGCATGCTCTAGAAGAATCTGGTTTTGAGTATCTGTTGCCATCTGGTAAAGAAACAATAAACACCCGATGTTAAAATAAAAGGCAGTAAAACTTGTTAGATGAGAAAAACCATACACTAAAGAGTCCTGTGTCATCCACACACACAAGGAACATAAAGATGAATGAAGCAAGGATGCTGAGAGGGAATGACCCCCGATGAGGAAGAATAACAACAACAAACTACCATTAATACCTCATAAATGTAGTTTAGGAAATATTGCTCTCCCAATGAAAGAGTAAAACCTTTACAATTTTCAACTTTCAGATAGCCCATACAAGCAAGAAAAAAAAATAGCATCTTTCTTTAAAATTTTTTTTATTTTCGATTTATTTTATGAGTGCTTCGCCTGCATGTTTGTGCACAACACATGCATGCCACGCTCTCTTGGAGGTCAGAAGAAGGTATCAAATCCTTTGGTCCTGAGTTATGGGTAGCTGTGAGCCACCCTGTCTGTGTGTGTGATGGAATCAGGTGCTGCAAGAACAAGACGTATTTTTCATCTCTGAACCATTTCTCAGGCCAGTAGCATCTTAATGAACCTAACTCAGATGGTAGTCTGTTTAAAGTATTCACTTATTGCCTCTCCCTCTGCCTCCCCCCCCCTCTGTCTGTGTGTGTGTGTGTGTGTGTGTGTGTGTGTGTGTGTATCCACATTTTCATGCTGCTGGGAACCAGCTGCTTCTCATTCCTGGTCATCTGCCACTAAAATAAACATAAGCCCCATCCACTAAGTTCCAGTTACAGGGGTTAAGAGCTCTTCCAGAGGTCCTGAGTAACCACATGGTGGCTCACAATCTTCTGTAATGGGATCTGGTGTCCTCTTCTGGCATGCACTGTATACATGATAAATAAATAAATCTTAAAAAAAAAAAAAAGAAAAGCAATCTTAGAGAAGCCCCTTTTCTATTTATGTATGCACATATTTATTTTATGTTTGTGTGTATAACGTGTGCAGGTTCTCTCAGGAGCAGCAGAGTGTATTAGTTCCCCTACAGCTGGAGTTACAGGCAGTTGTAAGCCCCAGGATGTAGGTGCTGGGAACCAAATTCAAGTCCTTTGGAAGGGCAACAAATGCTCTTACACTGCTGAGCCATCTGTCTAACCCTGAGAGCCATTTTTTTCTGAAGGAATTATTTATTATACAGTAGTCTTAAATCCTGGGTGGCTTTACAGTGGGTGGAGGCACAGAAGAGAAAAGAAGTGTCAGTCACCAAATGTACTTTTTAAAGAAGCAGAAAACTTTTAAAATGCATAGGGTAAACTGGTCGGTGGTGGCACATGCCTTTAATCCCAACACTTGGGAGGCAGAGGCAGGTGGATCTCTGTGAGTTCGAGGCCAGCCTGGTCTACAGAGTGAGTTCCAAGACAACCAAGACTACAAAGAGAAACCCCGTCTCAAAAAACAAACAAACAAAATGCACAGGGTAATTTATTACAGGAAGCAAAGTCATGTTAATAGAAAAGAGTAAATATCCATATATGAATCAACAAGGAAACGAGCAAGGAGGTAAGTAACTAAATAAGCCCAAGACTAGATAGCCAAGTACCTGGAACAGATGCAGTCCATTAGCATCTGACATGAAACGCAGCTCTCGATCCACAAGGTATTCAACTGGCACCACAGAACCCAAACCCAGCTTATCTACCAGGGGGGTGAAAGTCTGTGAAGCACAAGTACAACAAGTTGATTAGAACTTGGAAATGAAAGTAAAGGACAATTCAATTCAGCTCTGACTTCAGAGAAAGCATCCACCATTACTCTCCTCTCATTCCAGTGAATACAGACAAGCTAATGAACAAGGCCTTGGAAACATTCTCAAGACAGCATCTGCTCCTCAAACAGGAAGCAAACCAAAAAGAAAGTTTGCTCAATATTTTCTTTTTCTTTCTTATTTCAAGAAAGGGTTTCTCTGTGTAGCTCTGACTGTCCTGGAACTCACTTTGTAGACCAGGTTGGCCTCAAACTCAAAAGAGATCTGCCTGCTTCTGCCTCCTAAGTGCTGGGATTAAAGGCGTGCGCCACCATGCCTGGCTATGCTTGTTCAGTATTTTCTAATTTCTGTTTGTTTGGTTGTCTTTTGGATCAGGTCTCACACTACAGACCAGGCTTGTGAGGGATTTGTAGCAATCCTCCTGCTTCAGCTACCCGAATGCTGGAATTACAGGTGTGAGTCACCACGTCTGGTTTTTAATAATTTTATGTTGAAAAGGGGCAACTGGAATAAGAAATTAGCCATTGTCATTAGGGATCTGACTAATCATGCTAGGCTTCATAAGGGCTAATCTGTAGATGTCCAGGGTAAGAGTTGTAGTCACGGTGTGGTAGTACAAGCCTATAATCTCAGCACTTGGGAGATGGTCAAGGAGACCTCCCCCTGCCTCAATTGCCCCTATCTTTGCAGCCCGGAAACCTTTAGGAGATTTATAAATTACTAGGATAACCAGGTATGATGGTATATGCCGTTAACTTTTGATGTCAGCACTTGGGAGGCAAAGGCAGGTGCATTCATGAGTTTAAGGCTAGCTTGACTTACAAGGCCAGCCAGAGTTACAGGGTGAGACCCTACCTCAAACAAAACAAAACAAAACAAAACAAATTGCTGTAATACTTGTTTAGATCCCTGGCTGGCCTTGAGCACTCTATAAACTAAGAATGACATTGAACTTCTAAATCCTGCCTCCAACTTCCTAGGTACTGAATTACAGGTGTGTACCAACAGACCAGCTTTTTTGTTTTGTTTTGTTTTGTTTGAGACAGGGTTTCCCTGTGGCTTTGGAGGCTGTCCTGGAACTAGCTCTTGTAGACCAGGCTGGCCTTGAACTCACAGAGATCAGCCTGCCTCTGCCTCCCAAGTTCTGGGACTAAAGATGGGCGCCACCACCCTCGAGGGTTAGACCAGCTTTTATGTACTGCTTTATATAAAACCAGGGGCTTTATGCATGTCAGGCAAGTACTCTACCAAATGAGCTGTATGTTCAAATCTCCTCTCCCTCCATTTCTTTAATTATATTTATTTTCTAAGAGTGTATGGTATGCATATACACGAACAGCAGCACCAGAATACTTGTGAATTTAAGAGGAAACCTTGTAAGAACTGGTTTTCTCCCACCATGTGGAATCCATGAATCAAACTCAAGTTGTCAGGCTTATTGACAAATGCCTTCACCCACTGCGACAACCTGCTGGGGATGGACACACACACACACACACACACACACACACACACACACGCGTGTGTGTGTGTGTGTTCTCGAGTGCGTGCACACACGCTTTGAAAGAGCCTCAATATGTAGCCCCTTGGTGGGGTGGTGGTGGCACATGCCTTTAATCCCAGAACTCAGGAGGCAGAGACAGGTGGATCTCTGTGAGTTGGAGACCAGCCTGGTCTACAAGAGCTAGTTCCAGGACAGCCTCCAAAGCCACAGGGAAACCTTGTCTCAAAAAACCAAAAAAAAAAAGAAAAAAAAAAAAAAAAGTAGCCCCTTAAAGTCCTACAGGGCCAAAGCCATTTTGGGGATGAGGATATAGCTCAGTGGGAAAGTGCTTGCCTAATATGTATGTGTTTGGATTTGAAAATCAACATGGTATAAACAGGGCTGAGTGGCACACACCTGCCTGGAAACCAGTCTGCAGTACTCGACCTCTTATCTTCAACTCAACCCCA